TTTTTGGGGGGGGGGGGGTTTAAGGGGACATTCGACAGTTAAAAACGTAAACAAAATAGGTGTTTCACAGGCTGATTTTAGTAATTTTTAACTCAATATGAATAGATTTAACTACTTTTAGGCCTACAAATAATAAACATATAAGAGATTTCGATGAAAAGTATAATTTAAAAGTCAAGTGCAACTAATTAAAAAAATGTCTTTCTGGTAAGAATTTAAAGGGTACATCAACGTAATTCAAAACCTCACTATTGCTAAAATCCTGCTTGTATTTACTTTTATTACACCTCCTTTTGCCTCTGCCTTTATTGCTATATCACTCAGTTAAAAATCTGCCTAAGTGTGCTCATGACAATCAACAGTTACAGCATAGACGCATAGTAAGAAAAAAGAAAAACACATGAGTCACAACACCATGAAAACATAAAATACAGCCGTTCGTAGCTATTAACAGTAAAAAATGAAATTAATGAAAGAAGGCAAACTGTACTGTAGGTCATGTCTTATATTACATGTTTTCTTTCTGCAGCTGACTGAGGAGATCGTCAGCCTGGCCAGTGTGGACATCGAGGACACCCTACAGTTCCACCTGAACATCAGCGACCTGAGCAACCGCGACCACATCCTTGAGTTCACCCCTGCCTTATCCACCCTCAGTGACCACGTGCGCTACAGCATCGACTATGGAAACGAAGAAGGCTATTTTAAGATCAACCAGAGAGAGGGTGTCAGCTACCTGCATCTGAGCAAGAAGAAGGCCCTCCTCCCAGGGGCGTACTACCTTCAGATCAGCAGTATGCCCCTCTACAGGAAGAAGGAGCTGGCTGAGCTGGAGGACCGACACGATAAAGACTACCTCACAGGACAGCTGGGAGACATACTGAAGATGAGGGTGCAGATCATCCTCCATTAACCATCACAAGACTGAGAGAGGCAGATGTTGTCGGCAGCTGCTAATCCAGTGTCAGGCTCACACTTTTCCAAAAAGGCCAAACATCTCTGACTCTGGATCAGTGGATAGGGGCAACTTCTACTTGCTCCAACAAGGAGAAGGGCTCGCCACCAAAGAGACAAGAAGGGGGTGGGGGGAGGGACTGCGTCATTTGATTGCCAAAGATGATTCTACATATCATAGATACAATTTCTGTGGAAAACTCCAGCTGAATGAGGCAGTGTGAAAGATTTTAGTCAAATGAAGAGCATACACAACTTCAGCTGTGTGTAAAGCACTATTGAGAGTGTGAATGATTTTTAATTGTAGGGTTTAATGTTGTATGATGATATGTGGAATCAGGTGCCACTTTGAAGGGCATGTGGACTGCAGAAAGCTCTAAAGGCTGAGTTTTTTTAGAACTCAGCTTAGGTGGAAGAAAAGGGTGAGTCCCAATAGTCTGAAATAAATTCATTTCCTCCCCTCAGGTCAATGACTGAACAAACCTGGATACATGAAAGTTAACATGTTTCTGCTTCCCCAGATATTAATTTAATGGAGTGAAGATGAAAAAAAAAAAAAGATTAAGAGAATGGTTAGGAGAGGAAAGGAACCCACTATGGACTATTGAGATGTAGCCATGTCTGAGCTTGAATGACTCCTACTGCATATTTAAACTATGCTTTTCCATCTTTCCTACTGACTAGAATAATTCATATTTACTGGTGCTAGCAACACATCCACATAGACTTCTGAATGCACTGTACTACTATACAAAACTCTGTAGTCAACAAGATACAATCCCATCGGCCATTCTGAAGATTTCATGTCTTTGCAACAGTAACAGCTAGCTTCATAGCCTGTCTGCTCTCCTCTATACTACATGTAAATTGTGTTTATACTGTAATAATCGATGCCACTTTTAATCTATGAAGCATTTGTAAACTAGAGGAAGCCCCTGGAATAGAGGGGTTTGTAATGGTGCTTATAATGACCAACTACTTCCTTTGTAAACTGTGTATACATACACACACCTGCACACACGACACACATTGATGATGCCAAACCTGGGCCTTCATGATTATGCACTGAGGTCTTCGTGGCCACACATTCTCTCACAAGTACAATCAGTGCTGCATTGCCACGGACCAGCCTGTGTTCTCTGTTCACATCAGTGAGGGTTTAGTTGTAAATTCACAATAAAAACATATTTTTGGTGTATATGTATTTACTGCTGTGCTCCCCCCTTTATCCACATTACTGAATCACTACTGTAACAGATGCTAGCTTCAAGTTTGATATTCCTCTTCAGCCTCGTGTAACATGATCTCTCTGAATGTTTTAGCTAGTGAAACTGAGCATGAGTAAGTGTACTCACTAGGCTTAGATGAAATTCTTGTCCTGCACTGCCCCCATGTGGAGATATGGAGACTTTCCCTTTATCAAGTTACATGTGATAGTCCCAGTAAAGACACAAGACTCTCCAAAGTACAAAAACAAGAACTTTATTCAAATCTAATTATATATATATTTAACATATACACTTCACTGCCAATCCAACTGTATTTGAAGCTTTCAGTTTTTTCCAGTTGATCCAAACCCTCCAGCACCACGCTCTGTCTCATCAAGTGTCTGAAAGAAAAGAGCCAAGCATTTCTTTTAATTTAATTAGTAACACTAATCTGGTGAAATAAAATCTACTGTCGTAAAAGTCACATCCATTGATAAATCTGACAATGTTTCCACAAGTACACTTCGTTGCCAGTTTATTAGCTTTGCTAAAATGCAGTTTACTGCAACAGTCCTGCAATAAATCCGGCCATCATGAAGGTTTTAATCAGTTTTTCCCTCCTCATTAATATAAATGGGATGCCTAAAATAATGGAAACACCTGTCAGTATAACGCAATTCAGCAGCACTACAACCTACAGTTTCCAACAGGATCATAAAGTTGAATCAACACCTCTTTAAAAACATTTCAACGAGTAATAATTTATACCTTCATGAATGCATTCCCCTCATTACTGTTATTATCTGTACCAGTAACACTGAAGCTATATAGCGTGTGTCGTGTGTGTGTGTGTGTTGTGTGTGTGTGGTGTGTTGTGTGTTGTGTGTGTGTGTAATTATATATAATATATATATATATTAGTATTTGAGTTTCTCAGCTTGAAATGTACCTCTTTCTCCACAAGATCTGGGTAGCAGATCCTCTCACACACCAGCTGAGCAACTCGGTCACCCTTGTTCACTGTGAAGAGGAACAGAAGGAGAGAAGACATTTGTACATACCATCTCTACCATAGACGGTTTATAAAAGATTCTCATATCTTTAGTCTTAATAGTCCATAATTTATACAAATTACTCTCATGACATCAGTATAGGATGCAATAAGCTCTAAACAAATGTGGATAGCAAAATATTTGAATATTATTTCATTTAGAGGTAAAAAGAACACATTCAAACAGAGTTATTTTATTTTCAGCCATTTTTGTGTTCTCATAAATGGAGAGAATAATTTCCACAGTAGGCAGTTTTAGTATCAGATATGCAATTACCTAATCAATTCTGCTATATGTACATATCTGAATTTTTGGGTTATATTTGCCAGCAAACAACTGAATCTGATAACAACTACCTTTGATGCCACAACAACTCACCTTCAAATGTCTCCTTGCTGAAGTTGAAGAGCACAACTCCCACATTTCCTCTATAGTCTTCATCTACAACACCAGCTGACATACACAGAGACATGAGAGAAATTAAATTGACTGACATGACAAAGGGTTAAAAATGTACCTGCTCACGTGGATCCTCATCATAAGAAGCTAAAGACTCACCACCAACATCAATGAAGTGCTTTGCTGCCAGCCCAGATCTCGGTGCTGAGAAGGAAACAAAGAAAACACAGTTGGGGCCTGTTGTTCTGCAACTGGTGTAACATAATCCACCAAATTCAGAACAAAAAGACTTAAACAGCCTCTAAAGACAGCAGGAACACACTCACTCACCCACTCTCCCATAGCAGCCATGTGGAACTGCTATCTGGATGTCAGTCTTCACAATGGCCTTATCCATGGGTCCAATGGAGTAATCATATGCACTTTAAGTTTAAGTACAGAGAATTAAGGTCGGCTTATGTACAATGCCATTATATGCATACAGCAGATGCTTTTATACAGTAGGAATACAGTTACAATTGGATTTTACAAACACACTTATCGTCGTACAACTTCTGCTCAAAGACTATGTGGATTTGCATAATAAAATAAAATGCATTAAAGTAAGTGAACCCAAAACCAATTTTAATTTAAAGTATAACCAACCTGTAGAGGTCATATCCAGCTGCTTTAGTTGAGCCTCTGGTGGGTGTCCTGGCATTCTCAGACAGTTTAGCAAACTTGAGGACAGGTTTCTCTTCTGCAGGCTTTGTTTCTGTCCTTGCCCTCTTTGATGGAGAAATTGCTGAAACATCTGCAACCTCTAGGACGGGCATGTTGGCAAAGTTTTCACAGTTAAAACCGATAGTACACTAAGTAATTTATGCGGACTAAAGACTAGATGTCTATTAAGCAGGAGACAGAATTACAGCCAACTACTGCAAGCTTAAAACTCCCCAAGCTTCTGCTCCAGTTTCTTGGCGGTCCTACTATTTGAAATGAATTTCCCGCGCTGGAAGTTGCGCCAAATTAGCCCCTCCTCAAAAACACGTAATTTAAAAGCGCTACTTTATTATACACCGCAAAACGTAGTGAAATCAACTCAAATAGCGTTTACATGTTGCTACAGAACTGGCATTACATAAATTACATAAATAACATAAATGCATCAGTCGGAAAACACTTTTAATAAGTAACTCGGCAAGGCAGTAAGTATGCGTAACTATGACAACCCTTTCGTCACCACGTTGCTACAGGAAAACAAGTTCTCGCGAGATTTACGGACAAGCCTCTGACCTCCGATATATACAAAATAAATATGTAACGTTAGCACAAGGAAACTGGAGCGGATTAAGCCTCAGCTTACTTACGCATTGCACCACAATAAAGCAGAGATAGCGTTGATTGTGTTTACGCGTTCAGTTCACGGCAGCCACATTGCAAAACCCCAGACTGACCAGTGAAGCTAGCAAAGCTAACGTCAATAAGCACTTGAAATGCTGCTGGGAATTGTAACGTTATCCATAATAATTCCTTGCTTGCCTTTGTTTTGAACGCGCAACTGAGAGTGAAATTCCCTTCCTAAGAAACATGTGGCGACATCAGAGAGCGAGGAACAAAGTGGTTGAAGGTCCCGCAGCTTTAGCAACGTTCGTGTCATATTGTTGGTTAACGTCGTCTGCAAGCTAATGGCTAACTGAGCTAGCGTCCTCTCAGCTGACTGACTCACTGCACTGCACTGCACTGCACTGCACTGCCCCCTCCTGCAGCTCCTCACTCTGCAACAGACTATAAGGATATATATATAGATATATATATATATCTATATATATACTATATTAGGCTGACTGCCCTGCCCCCTCACTCTGCAACAGACTATA